TGCCCCAGTACAGGCTTGTCACAGCGCAGCAATAAATCCAGCCTTGATCCCAGATCGTGGGAACAGGCACTAAAGTGCGTGCTCCAACCCTTATTTTCTCCATCTGAAGATGAGAACAAGGATATTTACTGATACTGAGCAAATTAATTTTTCAATGTGGTGTTCTTCATGTGATTCCCATGGAGTCCTTTGAATATGTACATTAGGTGCTAATATTAAATAAATTATTTTTTAGTATTGTCCTGTGCAGTAGGATTCTGCAGCTCTGTATGGACACTCAGGATTTGGTATTTCACCCATTCCAGATTGGGTTGCTTGGCTGGGACTGATAAAAAAACAACTTCCCAGGGTATTATTTCTGTTCTTCGGTTACATTTGTGTTTATGTGCTCTGTGGAATAACACTTACGGATCCAAACGTGGTAAACGTTTGGACAGGGAAGCAATGACACTAGCAGTACATCAAAGCATTTCATCCATAACAAGATGCAGTGTACAGTGGGAATTTGTGGGGTTCAGCGGCCCCCTCTGAAAACTCTGCCAAGCGGTACCTGTTGGGGTGGGATACCTGCAACAGCAAACAAAGCCATTGAGGAGGACTGAGCTGTGCAGACAGGCTGGGGGGGGGCGTAAATTAGAGAATTAGTGAATCTTATATTAATTAATTAGGTCTACTACTTTTGAAAAATGTTACATAGTGAGTAATTTCTGATACCTAACCTGGTAACCTTGCCTTGCCTTAAATGACTCACATGAGCGATCGACCTGTGCTGTTATAGCAGAATGCTCCTAAACTGGGTTTTGTAATAACCCCAAGCAACAAATTGTACAGACAACAACAGCTGTTTGTTATTGTCTGTCTGATGTGCTGCTATACAAACTGTTCACTTCGTCATTTTATTGATCTTACCCTTGAAGATAAATAGGTTAAGAATACTACATGTAATGCAAAACCACTGCTAATGGTCTTGGATAAACTCCTGTGTCAGACACAGACTTTGTCTCACAGATCACCCGACCAAGTGCCGCTGCCATCCCCCAGCCCTTCCCCAGTTAATGCAGCGGGTCATTAACTTCGTTTCTCAACAGCAGCCAAACACATCGCTGCCCCAGATCTTTTGTGAGATTTCTGCTCATTTAGTGCATTCTTTCAGAATGGAATAGAGGATGTAACGTTGAAGCACACACAGATGACAGACTAATTGAAAACCAAAAATATTCTTTTTTCTAAAATAGTAGTATAAATCTTTTGAAACGCACATATCTGTGTAATTAAAGTTGTTGAAAATGTTAGCGTGGCTTTACTGGCATCAGAAGCCATTTGAACGTGAAGCTCAGCGTGCTAACGGCACTGTTTGCTTTAGCATCTCCTGTGACCTGCTCAGCCTGGATCAGGGGGTCGCAGTGCAGCCCCCGCCATCTCCCTGAGCAACCGGCACTGCGGTGTGCAATAACTCATGGTTACTCACATGAGAACTGCGACGCTCTCCCGCCAAGCCCGCACTGCCGGACGCGCTCACCGTGGAACAGCCCGTACCGGATTTGGCCGATGAACTTCTCCAGCTCGGGGCCGCTGGCGTTGACCAACAGAGCTCCCGTCTTGCAGAGCATCGTCCCCGTCACCCAGCGCTGCGTCCCCACGGCCGCCGCGGTCCCCAGGGCGCAGGCCAGGCTCAGCACCCCAGCTATGCTGAAGATGATTTTCTTCTGTGGGGCGGGCATGGTGGGCATGAAGCCTGCAAGGATGTGTCACCCAAACAGCTGAGCTTTGGCCAGCCCTGCCTGTGCCGGAACCCTCTCCTTGGGGGCTGCAGCAGCCAAACCCCCTGCACGCCTTCCCTCGGGCGCTGCAAAGGTTTATTTCTTCATCGCGCTCACGCAGCCCAGCTCACACACCACTGCGTCTTGGCAATGGGAAAGCGGAGCCGCGCGTGCAGTGTTCCCGTGCATCCCGGTCACTGATAGCAGGGTTTAAGGTGACAGCAGGAGCCTCTGCAACGTGATGAGTGCTCAGTTCTTCCCGGCCCTGCCTGGGTGAGGGGGGATCTCGAAGAGAGCTCGGTTGCTGGGCCTGGTTAGCTGCTCTTCAAAAAGGGAGTTTTTAGAGTGTTTTATTGTTCCAGGTTTCCTGTAAAGCTAGCAATGCTGAGCTGCTTTGTTCTTCTTTTTTTAGTTTTTTTTTTTTCCCTTATTTTTCCATTGTGGTCCTTGAGGCAATGGCACAGGTAGCACACAGTCCCCTTGCTGAACCCCTCTGCCGTGTTTGGTTGCATTTGGGCACTTGCTTTTCCCTGCTTAGGTGCTCCCTGAGAAGGAGTGTCCTCTGTCCCTGAGGACAGAGTGTCTGTCACACACTGTGTTATTCTGGGTGTGGGGTGCTCGGACATCGCAGCTTGTGTCTCACACACCAACACATTTTCTCTTACTTCTCTGCAGAAAAGGGTTTTCCTGACCAGATCAGCTTAGGAAGTGGATGCATATCTGGGGCAGGAAAGCTCTGCAGGTGCTCCAAGAGTATCACAGTGACTGAGTCTGGTTTAACTACGGAGGTTTTTAAGAGCCATGGAATTAAAGTGAAGTAAGGCTGTGTACAGACAAATGATATTTCTTTTTTAAGCTGTGGTCTGTGCAGTACGCAGTTAAAAGATGGCATGCTTCCATGTCACTGTGGTCCATTGTCTCTCAGCTGGCGCTGTGACAGTGCCGAACACAAGCAGGTTTGGGAAAATGATTATTTTTAAAGGTGGCTTTGAATATTTTACACAAGCAGAATGCATTTATCATTGCCTGAAGAGGGACTGCGATATTTTAGTGTGATTATCAGCAGCACAATAGCAGTGAAAGCAGCAGGCTTGAACATATACATACAAAAATGACGATGTCCTAGAAACAACTTATTGGAGGGGGGAGGGAATGTAATTGCATTTATCTGTTTTTGTGACTACTTTTTTCAAGAGTCAGCGTTCTGACAGTCTTTTCATATGGAGCAGTAGTTAATGCCATGGAAAGTGATGCGGATCTCTGCAGCAGGGAGGCTCTGACAGGGGCTGTTTGTTTGGCTTTGCACAGTGACACAATGTGGCTTTCTGAGCTGTTAAAATAATATTTCTTGGTAATCTGGGGTAGTGTTTATCAAACACATACAGGAAAAAGACTCTCTGATGTTAAAGCTTGGCGGTTTTAGAAAAGAAGGTCCCCGTCAATGAACTTTTGACAAGTGTTTGTAGCATCTTTCTTCTTCTAAAGCATGGGAAGCAAATAATGGGTTATTTTTTCCTTCAGATAATTAACTGAAAAAGTGAGGCTGAGGTATCTGATGATCACAGAAAATATTTTATTGCAAATGTTGTGTGCTCCACACAACGAATACCGCTTTGAATGCATGACAAGAGCAAAGAAGATGCACCAAATCACAAGATAAAAAGGGAAATCAAGCCTTTGTTTCTTCTTTCAGAAGCATTAGATCCCTCAATTTCTGACAACATCACACTAGAAGCAAGACTTGGGCGAGTCACTGTGCAAGGCCAAGCTTAAAAACCAAACAGAAGTAGCCATAGTGAAGTGGCTGGGGTGTGACTGGGATGATGGTTAATTCCCGGCCTGAGTGTTTCAGCTCCTTCATTCCACGGTCCTGCAGAGCATCCCTACACCCTGGAACCCCTGCCCGAATTCTGGCTGGTTGCTGTTACCCCCCTTTGTCCTGCTCTTTGCTCCCATGAGCAGACTGCTGATGGAACAATTTCATTCCTGTCCCCCTAAATACCCATTTATCCCTCCAGGCCCGCATACAATGAAAAAGGTAAAGGAAAGATTGTTGTTGGTGTTTAGCTTATTAAAATAAACAATTTAGGGTGAGGCTGTATTACCAGACAATCCTGTCTGTTTGGACACTGAGTTACAATGGGGTCTCATCTCTTGTGCCATATATGTACAGTGGCACGGTGACAGTGTTGAAAGGGTCTGCCACCTGTGCCACTGCCTTGTAGAGTGCTCAGAGCTCCTCCTCCCTGTAAAACATGGCATTATCTGCTCCTGGGTAGCTGTTCCTGAAAAGGGCTGCCTTTACATTGTCATCGATGCACTTTCTCCTCAAATTTTCTCTCAACCAGTGAGTTAAAAAAACCCAAAACAAACCTGAACTTAAAGAAATAAACTATAATATAAAAAAAATAGTTTGTAACTGTCTGGTATTTCCAAAATACCTCCTGTTTGTACTGTCCTGGAGATGTAGTTCGAGGAGAGGATCTGGCACAAGTAATGGGTAGAAAGGGGGAAATGAAAGGTCCCTGTGCTTGCTTAGAGTAACGCTAATACAGGAATTAATTAGTTAACAGCTAATACCAGTCCAATGCCTGGTGAGATGGTACCGTGAGAGGGGCTGTTTTAGTGCAGGATGCTGTGGGCACATCGCAGCCCCGTTTTAGGAAGGCCTGAGCCTGAGCGCTGGAGAAGGTGGAGCCCTCAAGCTTTGATGGTTTAATGCGTTTATTGTGAAGATTCATTACTCGGAACCCGTCCCTCTGCGGACATTGTGTTCCCTGCCCCGCTTGGCTGATCCGCTGGGGTCAATGGGCCCGCGGGGGGGGGGAACGGGCTGGCCCTGGGAGCATCCGGGATGGGACTGCCAGCTGAGAACAGCGGAGCCGCTCGCCCAAGGCCACCCCAAGCTGCAGCTGTAGACGGACAAGAAGCAGCTCAATGCCGCTCCGGAGCCATTTGGTGCCTCCCGGAGCAGAGTCAGGACCCCCGCAGACGCCAGGCAGCAGAGCAGGGGGCACTGGGGCACTTCGCTCTCTGCTTGGCCCGAGAGCCACCTGAGCAGGACAAGGGGCTGCGCCTGGGACAGGGTAGATGTAAAATTTGCTGCACCCTG